TGTTATTTAAAGCTGAAAGAAAGGCAGTCATCATTATAAACTTAGAATGTGGCTGAACTATGTTGTAGTTTTGTGCAAATGATACAGTTTTTAAGTGACAAAATTGGATACTTGACTGAGGAAATTTCTAAGTAAAGTGCAGCAGGGGTAGTTTGGCTCCTTCCAACTCCTTGCAATAACATGGTAAAGGAAAGGGATGAACTGAAGAAGAAAATTGTTAAGTTAAAAAAATCCAGAACTTGGATTTTTCATTTCTCAACCTATCATTGCAAAAAATGGGAAAGCCTATTCTGAAAACAATACCAAAGATGTGACTGAGCTATCATTTGATAGTTTATGAGGGCCAGGGAGATAGCTCAGTAGAATATTGCCTGGCAAGTGCATGGGCCTGAGTTCAATCCCCAGTTCTGAGAAAAAAAAGAAAAAAAATCTGATCATTTATGAGACTCTGCAAACAAAACCACTTCTAATTTTAACTGAAAAGAATGAAATTAAGGAAAACAGATAGACTTCTTGGATTTGGCAGATCAGGATGATAGAACTATTTGGCTGCCATATTGCTCTATTCTTTAGAAGGGGAAAATGTCCCAAAAAGAGATTCAGAGATCACTGGTTGTTGATTTCAACAGTCAAATTGGCCTCTCCTTGGAACCTTGGAGGCAGAGGTGCTTGGATCCAAGAGGGTGATGCTGCACCCTGGTGGGCCTGAAGAGTAGAGTAACCAGCTAGAGAGAATTGTTCTCAAGCCTTAAAGTTTAATGGAATTTGTCTTGCAGGGGCTTTGAACTTGTTTGGGATTTATCATCCATTCCTAACTTTCGGTTTTACCTTTTGGAATGGGAATGTCTACCCTATTTCTGTCCCACCATCCTATGTTGATAGCACATAATTTGTCTGGTGTCTTAGGTTCACACCTGGAAAGCAGTTTTGATTTAAGATGAATCAAACCTCAGGTCTCACCTATATTAGATTTAGATATTTATTTATTTTTTGTTTTTTAGGGAAGGGTCTACAGGGTGTTCAGGGTCTCACTACTAGATCGGACTCGTAGTGATCCACCTGTTTACAGCCTCCTGAGAACTGGGGTTATAGGCACATGCCACCATGCCCAGTCTCAATTGCCCTCTCAGTGTGTCCCAGGGACAGGGCCAGCACGGCAGGCCTGGGGATCAAGCCCCTGGCCCCTGCGCCTGTGCTTTAATCCACTGAGCTATTTGGCCGACCCTTAGATTTAAATGAGACTCTAGACTTTAGAGTTCATGTTTGGATGAGTTAACGCTAACTTAGGCTGTTAAGGATTGAATATATTTTGAATGGGAGAAAGACATAAATATGGGAGATGCCAAAGGCAGAATGCTAGAGGCTGAATTGGGGGGTTGCACCCTGCCCAAAAAAAAGAAATTTCTGTATTGAAGTCCTAACCCTCTCTTGTAGTCGTGGTTTTGCAAGGGGAACAATACCATATAGAACACTTAATTTATAAGAATTATTTTATAATAGTCAAAGAGTCATATACGAAGAGAGTGCAAGAAATCTGTTCACACACATTAAAACCAAAACATTCCAGCTGAAGACCTGTTTCCTATGGCAATGTCCTGCATAATTCTAGCAGAAGATCTAAAGCCCATCAAAATTCCCTAGAGTCCAGGACTGGGGATATAGCACATCAGTATGATTGCCTACCTGGCAAATACAAAGTCCTAAGTTTGATCCCCGGTCCCCAGTACTGCAGAAAGAAAGAAAGAAAGAAAGAAAGAAAGAAAGAAAGAAAGAAAGAAAGAAAGAAAGAAAGAATTCCTTAGGGCTGAGGAAGGGGGTCAGT